TTTACGGGTAAGGGGCTTTGCCGGGGCCCCCCCTTCCCCCCCCCCCCCGAGGAAGTCACTGCAGGGGCTCAGGTCCGGGCCCTTCCTTCCTCCTCGCTTCCTTTAGGCAAGCAGCTGGCTCCTTCCTACAGCACTGTTCTCGCGAGGGGCGCCTGGAAGTGGCGGCCCACAAGAAGAGAGCCTGATCCTCAAAGCCCCCGCCATGGTCTCCCCTTGGTCTGTGTGGCACATTTGAACCCACTTGTGGACAAGGATGCGGTGGGAAGCATGCCTTCCCTCGCCAGGCTGCAGAGGCAGAATCTTCATGAGCTGGACGAGGGCCTGGATGTATTGCCATGGGGGAACTTGCAAGGGTGGATGAGCGGGTTGATTTTACTCTGAGCAAAACCGTTCCGCGACTTTTCCTTCTCCTTGGCAGACTGCAAGACCTTCCTTCGGGCTACTGGGTCTTGGCGCTCCACTTCACCCGCCGAGAGGCCATCGAACAGATAGAACTGCTGGAGCACGTGACCACCAATTTGGGGCGCAGTAAGTCTCGGTCTGGGGCTTTAGCCAGCCCTGCTTTGCCGTCCCGTGTCACCGAATGCTCGGTGAGGGCACCCGGACCCCATGGGGCAGCAGAGTCGGACAGTGAGGAGGTTGGGGAGGAACATGGGCTGGTCCTGGAGTCTGGGAAAGGCTCTGATGAGGGCTCTGTGTTGGAGTCAGAGAGGGGGCCAGAGCCATCTGACAGTTATCAGCTGCCTTCAGAGTCAGACATCAGTGAGGCAGAAGAACAACTGGAGCCTGTTCCTAGTGTGTGCATGTGCAGAGTTGCCAGACAAAGGGAATAGCTAAAGAACAAGGGTCGACTTGGGTGTAAGGCCACAGGTGGACGATGAATGGCCTCTCCCAGAGGACATAAAAGAGGAGCGAAAGGGGAGTGGAGTTTGCAGGAGACAATCAGTTCGCTTCATTGGTTCCTGACTCTCCGAGACTCCTGGCCAAGTTTTACAGATCTCGGCCTGGCAGCTCTCCAAGCCAGAT